TCATCGGAAGGACGATTCTGTTTCCTCATCATCATCATCGGAAGGACGATTCTGTTTCCTCATCATCATAGGAACAATTCTTTTTCCTCATAATCAGAGGAAAGATTCTTTTTCCTCATCAGGAATGATTCTGTTTCCTCATTGGAGGAACAATTCTTTTTCCTCATAATCAGAGGAACGATTCTGTTTCCTCATAATCAGAGGAATGATTCTGTTTCCTCATCATCATCATCATCATCATCATCATCATCTTCATCATCATCATCATCATCATCTTCATCATCATCATCATCATCATCGGAGGAACGATTCTATTTCATCGTCGTCATCGGAATGATTCTGTTTCTTCATCATTTTAGGAGGAATGATTTAAAGAACAAAGGATGTTAGCTTTGAGCTGCTTTGATGTGGGCGGGATCACATTGAAAATGTGCATTTTTAAAAAATATTCTTATTATTTTAAACCTAACTACACCGAAGATCTGAACATCTGTACCGGATTATCCACATGAGTCTGAAGACGAGAGGGCAAGGTGACAGAGCATGTTAAGCTAATGTTAGCTAATGTTTAACTAATTTTAAGCTAATAACTAATGTTTGCTAATTTTAAGCTAATGTTAGCTAATGTTAGCTCTTGTAGCTTGTTGTTGTTGAGGTAAACTCATTACAAATGATGCAGTGGGTTTGAGGGGACCACTGCTGCAGCTGATCACTGAGCAACAGATGGAACAAAAAGACTGAGACTAATGTGAACAGAGAACAGGTGAGGTGGGCGTGGCAAAACTGAAGAACAATAAAAGCGAAGTCAAAACAGAAAAGAACAAAAACTAACAGATGGTGGTGTTTGTCCAGTCTACAGTTTACACAGGTCCTGATGGAGACCTGATCCTGGATCTGATGAGTTCTTTTCATCCTGTCATCTCTGAGCTCAGACCGGACTCTTCTCCAACAAGTTCCTGAAAAGAAACTAAATGTTTGAATCAAATGTAGGAATTGCGCAGCACGGTGGTTCAGTGGTTAGCACTGTTGTCTCACAGTGAGAAGGTCCAGAGTTCGATCCCCGGATCAGACCTGCAGTCTTTCTGTGTGGAGTTTGGATGTTCTCCTTGTGCTCCAGATCCGAGATTTACCTGGTCAAACAACAGTTACATAAATAAAAAATAAAAATGAATTTGCAGACGAAGCTCTCGCCTCCTGGTGGAGAAACCTTTCATTAGCATGTAATTAGCCCGAGGCTAACGGTTAATTAGCCACAGAAGGTGTGGAGGTCAGACCTTCAGCTCCGACCAATCAGCTTCCATTTATTTATAAACAAAACCTMAAGTTCTGTTTGTCTTCAGGAAATTACAAATATTTTATTCTCCAAGCTGAGTGAACTTTGAAACAACTTATCAGGAGGTTGAGTCCGAACTGCAGCTGCTGAAGTGTCTTTGAGCAAAACAGTAAAACCTTCAACCTGATAACTAAATAACTAAATAAATAAATCTGCAGCTTTAAAAACAAACTAACTTTAACT